GCTGCGGTCACGGGCAGGCACGGAGTGTTTGGGGATGGATTTTTCAGCTAAATAAATGATTTGCCCTGCCGTTTGGAGAGTGCATTAGCTAGGACCCTTCGTCAGTTCCCAGGCAATAAACCCATACGCTCAGATTTCCCTGACAGTGTCTTTAAGGCTTTATGGCGTCCTGCCTGAGCGTCCGCAACCATATAACCTTTACAATTTGACATACAACTAGATTTTATCCCAAGATTTTTTCCGAAGAAAACCTATCATGTGATTTCTCAAAAGTCGTGACCTAAGATCGTTTTTAGCAATTGTCATTCCAGGTTTCTCTGCTCAAATGTTTATGTGTGTTGGTGCCTTCCTAGCCAGCACTTTCATTCATGGTCTGCTTGGTTTTCCTCCGCTACAAGGTTTTGCAATGATTGGTGGCGCACTGTGGGGCATAGGTATAGCACTAATAACTCAACTGAAGTCGTTTCTATAAGTGTAAGTGTTCAGGTAATGCATTTACACTTCAAATCATGAATCGCTTGGGCATGGCGCTCACCGTTCTTGTATGCAGTACTGTTTCATGCTTAACAGGATGGGCGACATCAAGGCATTCTCATAGTTGTAGTTCCAAATTAGTTATCAACACTGTTCTTCAGATACGGACTCCTTGGCTTGCCCGCTGCTGTTCCCGCGAGTGTAGCAATGAATTATCTGGGAATAATCTTGCTCATTATAGGGTAAAGTTGTTGTTCATTTCGACAACAACAAAGTTGAGCAATAATCAAGCAAGGCGAAGGTGCCAAATAAACTTGAGTAAGTTTGGTACTTTTCCATTAACCGGACCCATTTCAAATTGTTCTCATAAAGTACCTTCTTCAACTTAGAAATTTTTTTCCATGGATATTTCGAGGACTGCCTCCTTGCCATGTGTGAAGGTAAAAATTAACATGTTAGAGGCCAGATGATGTTTTTTTTTGGAAGTCATTTTCAGTAAGGTACGAGAGCATTTGAAGTGACTCGAAAGCTGCTTAGGGGTCTTTTTTGAAAGTAAAGCAGTTTTGAACGTTTATTAAGACATCTTGGTAGCTTCCAGCACTGATTCAAAGGAATCCCGTTCTTCACATTGTTTCCACCATGCGAATTTAGCGGAAAAGATTATAGAAGATGGTTTGAAGTACATGACTGCCAATTGTTTCGTTGTTTGAGTAATAGAACAATGGTCCATTTCTCTGTTCCGGGGAGACCTCTTGTGTTTATATAGAATGTCATTTTCATAAGGTTAATGCTCAGTCATGAGACTCGTGACTAGAATCGGAGTCATTATTGGACAAAAAAACAGATAGAACTTACATTAGTAGGTCTGAAAATTTTTTTGGTGAAACCTGTTGAACATGTAGATGACAGGACACTTGACAGGAGGTTGACTCTACATCTTGTGAAGTTTATACCAAATCTGGTACAAGGAAAAAAGCAATAATATCCTTTTTTGAAGAAACGGGCCCGGATAACGGAAAATAGCGTAACTTTTTACGAATCAAAATTCAATAAGCTCCTAAAGTTCTATTTAACTGTCACGTGTAGAGCCCTCTCTTAAATATTAGGGTGGCAAATAATTTCTGTTACACTTTTGTTTAACTAAAAAATCTAAAAGACAGAAATTATCCGCCAACCTAATAAATCAAACTTTGTTTTGCTAGCAGACTTAGGACACTGTTCGACAGAGCAAAGCAAGCTTTACAATAAGGCCACCAAAGATCCATCTAAATAGTAAATCATGTAGAGTCTGAAGTCAAGATTGGAAAAATCAATCATGGAAAAATCAATCAAAACCATCACTCTATCCCTAAGAATTAGATTTTGCAAAAAAAAA